GCCTCTTCTTTGGTTTTAGAGGTCATATTTGGACTTCCTACAGGGACATGCAGGATTTCACTTCTCCTCCCTCTGCCCAATACAATGACATCATCTTTGGTCCTACGCATGTCAGATTGTCACTGTGTCCTAATTACGGGGCCTAGCCACTTCCTTCCCTGTACTTTGGCTCCATTTTCCCCCTTTTTGGAGTCTGTAATTCCTCTTTTCTGTTTGGCTCAGTGCGCTCTGTGTCCTGCTCCCTTCTCTGCAGGACCTGGCTGCCGGCCCTTCTGACCTCGGATCATCTTCCTCATCATCCGGGGACTTCTCAGAAGGACAGGGTATCTTTCCTGACTCAGAGGCTTCTCTTTCCTGCCTTTCTCCTTTGTCTTATTAAAGAATATTCTTCACATACTTCCTAAGAAAGGGTCCAGGAGAGACATTTTTAAAAGACAATCTAGCCAGCATGGTGATTCCGTTCCTTTTTTAAAAATTTTTGAGGTACTAGAAATTGAACCCAGGACTTAACACGTTAGGCAAGCACTTTATTCTTGAGCTCCAGCCCTTTGTTTTATATGTTTTAAATTTACTTCATTTGTTTAATTAATTTATATTTTTGAGACCATCTCATGTGTATGTAGACTGGTCTTGAACTCAGTGTGTAGTCTAATTGGCCTTCAGTTTCACACTCCTACTTCAGCTTCCTGAGTAGCTGGCATGATAAGCCTGTGCACAAACTCAGGGGCCGGGGGGCCTGTTCTTGTACACATATGTGTGGAGATAAGAGTTCAGCCTTGTGTACCATTCATCTGGTGCCCACAGGGTCTCTTTCTGACCTAGAAATTCACCAGTGAGACTAGGCCGACTGGCCAGTGAGGCCCAGGGATCCTCCTGTCTCTGCCTCCCCAGAGCTGGGATTACAAGTGCCAGCCACCATGGCCAGCTTTTTACACGGGTTCTGGATATCAAATTCAGATCCTTGTACTTATGTGGCCAGCACGTTGCCATCAGGGCCAACTGTACCAACCGTGCCACCTTCAGAGCCCTGGCCCTGGCAGTTCTTACAGACTGTAGGCGCCCCCCCCCCCCTTAATTTTGACAGTACTGTTCTAAGCACAGTGATTCTAGGGTCTCCGCTTTGGCTGTGGGGCTGGCACTGGAAGAAAGTGATCAGAGGGTCCCTGCTACTGGGTGTCTGCAGGAGCAGCAGTGGCCCCTGACTAGGAGATGGGCTTACCTAGAGCATGGGAGGCGGTAGGGTGCTCAGATCTATTGTCTCAGTTTGAAATCTGCTCACAGTGACATGCAGCAGGGCGGAGGCAGGTCTCCTTCAACTGCATAGCAAGTTTAGAGAAGCGCTGAAACTGGACTAATACAGAGAAGACTAATGTGCTCCCCTCCCCCATATAAACGAGAGAAAGAAAAGAAAGGGAAGTAAAATAAGGAAAAGTGACTCTGCCTCTGCAGACTGCCCACGCCTGTCGGGAGCCCTGGACTCCTGTACCAGGCAGGATAGGTTCTTGGCATGTCTGGGGAGTCAGGAGAAGCAAGTTCTGAGCCTGGCTCCAGGGTGTGGCTCAGGCTGTCACAGGGCCAGTATGAGATTATCAAGGTTGCTGCTGGAACGGGCCAGGGCCAGGCCAGTCCCCAGGAGCCGACTGATGCTCAGGGCCTTCAAGCTTTCTCGCTGACTCCAAAGTGTGCACGCCACCCAGCCCACTGTGTGCCTTGTGTGTGTGAAGATAGAATGACTTGGGGGCATTCCTCTGTGGCTGTCTTGGTTTTTCTGTTTGTGGTTTGTTTGAGACAGGGGCTCTCACTGGCCAGCAACAATTTATTAGTCAGTGACAGTGCCAAGTTCAGACTCCGTCACACCCTCTAAGACTACCCTCCACCAAGTGCTGGCTCTGTTCCTCCTAGGCGGAGCCAGTCAGTCTGTCTTGGAATAAGTCCCAGGGTCCCCACAGGTCCCTGTCTGGGACCATCTAAACATGAGGTGTGTGTTTCTCCCACTGTCCTGGAATTTTCCCAAATTGTATCATCACTGGAGCAGGACAACCTTGTAGGTTCATTCCTGGCTTTACTGTTTCTGTGAGGACGGTTTTCAGGGGCAGGTTTGTTTTGGTTTTGTTTGTTTGTGTTGGTTTGAAAGGCGGAGTCTTGCTGCCATAGGCGGGTCTGCAACTCTGCCCTCTTGTTTTGGCATCCCAAACACTGGCAGTACTCTGGTGTAAATTTCTCTTTTCCAGGTGGCTTTCCCAAGTCATTCTATATCAGTGGCTCTCAGCCTGTGAGCTGGGACCCCTTTGGGGAGTGAACGACCATATGGCAGGAGTCATATATCAGATATCCCGCTTATCACATATTTACATTATGATTCATAACAGTAGCAAAATTACAGTTATGAAGTAGTAATGAACAATTCTATGGTTGGAAGTCACCACAACATAGAACTGTATTAAAGCGTTACAGCATTAGGAAGGTTGAGAACCGCTGCACTATGTGTTCTCAGAGGCTCGGAAGCCCTGCCCACGGTCTGGAGTTCACCTGACTCCCACTGCTCCCAGCGGGTCAGTTTACAGCTCTGAGACCTGAGCTCCAGCAGCAGGGTGGCCCTGTCTCAGGCGCAGCTCTCTCCTTGCAGTCTTTGCAAGGATGGTTCAGTGGGCTGCTCTGAGGTCGGGACTAGATGAGTGATGAGAAGCACGGGTGCCCTGGAGGTGCTGCTGGGAAACTGCCATCACAGGCTGCAAGACTGAAGCAGCTACTGCACATCCCCGCTGTGGCCACACACAGGTCACTGGCATGAGCCAGGCTGAAGAGGCAGAGGTTGCTTCCTGGGAGGGGGGACGGGACAGGTTGGGAAGTGCATAATGAGCATGTAGTCCAGAATCTCACATGTGCTAGACAAACACCCTACCACTGAGCCACACTCCAGCCCCTCACTGGGGGATTCTAGGCAGGTGCTCTACCACTGAGCCACACTCCAGCCCCTCACTGGGGGATTCTAGGCAGGTGCTCTACCACTGAGCCACACCCCAGCCCCTCACTGGGGATTCTAGGCAGGTGCTCTACCACTGAGCCACACCCCAGCCCCTCACTGGGCTACATTCTCAGCCTGTTTTAATTTTTTATTTTGGGACTGGGTCTCACTAAGTTTCCCAGGTTGTACTTGAACTCACTCTGTAGACCAGGCTGGCCTTGAACTTACAGAGATCTGCCTGCCTCTGCCCTCCTGAGTGCTAGGTTAAAAGGCATGCTACACTATGCCCAATGAAACCTGATTTTTGAGTGTGTAGATGTTGAAGTAAAATCCTGTCTCAGCCTCTCCACCCTGTACTTGGGTTTATATTTTAGATTCAGAAGTAAATCCAGGCTAATGTGGTGTTCATGCTTGGGAATCCCCACACTTGGCCTCATAGGAAGTTCTAGGCCATAATAAGACTCCCCCCCCCCCCCCAATCTCAAGGGAAAAAAGAAAGAGAGAGAATTAAATTCAAGCCAGATGTAGTGGCTCATGCCTGTATTTCTAGTACTCAGAAAAATGAGGCAGGAGGATGGTGAGTTTGAGACCAACCTGAGCTGCATGAGAACCCTCCCCCACCTTTTTAAGAACCTCAGGGAAAGTTCCTTTTTACTTTCCTCCTTTCGTGGTCTCTTGGTTTGCTACTGAACTTCCTGTGTGTATCAAGGCCTCAGCTGGGTCGTAGGGACATGGGGAAGGGAGGGGTACAGGAAGAGAACTCTGCAAGTACAGAAATTACCAAAATTTGAGGTGGTCCAAAGGAGAAGAGACTCTGAATACTCAAACTAAAGGTCTCAGTGTGGCATGCACCTCTCTTTCCTACAGAGGGGCCGTGACCCAGGAAGGAATTTATCCTCCCACTATGCCTGAGGGAGCTTTCGCTGGTCCCTTGCTCAGTCCTGAATAGCTCCCAGAAAGAGGGAGATGGACCAGCAGCCACCCATGGGGTCACATCCCAGGCCTTAGGGGACACTGTCAGTGCAGGTGGAGGCGATATCCCAGGTGAGTTTGGAGAGTCAGCATAAGATGAGGCAGGGGACGGGCATGCCCGACAGCGGTGACCTTCTGTGTGTTTCCCACAGCCAGAGGAGCAGCAGGAGTGGAAGAGAGCAGTGTCCTGACACTTGCCCTCCTGCAGCCAAGGGTTTTGGCAGAGATCACCTCACAGGTTGTCTGCAGTGAGGGCAGAGGCAGTGTGCAGGACACTGACCAGACCCCCACCCTCCTCAGTGTTTGATGCATGCCATGGTGTGTGTGTGTGTGTGTGTGTGTGTGTGTGTGTGTGTGTGTGTGTGTGTATGACATGGGGAGGCCAAAGGGCAACCTGTGGGAGTCAGTTAAATTCTTCTACCAAGTGGGTCCTGGGGATTGAACTCAGGTGGTCTGCTTTGGCAGCAAGCATCTCACTGGCCTCCTAGAGCTTGCCTTAATCCATTAGCTCACTGAAGAGCCAACCAGCTTCAGCCCTGGGATGCAGGTGGGGCTGGCCAGGTCCTGTGCTGGCTTTGCCAGTGGTAGGTCACAGTGGAGCTGGTGACTTGAGGCAGAGAACTCGATGTGCCGCCTCCCCTGCCTGCCAACAGGCCCCTGCCACCTCCTCCAACATATCTTTTAAGTTTCCTTGTGTGGAGTTACTGGCCATCCAAGGCTGTTCTTAGGGTGCCATCTTGTGGTCATGTTCGCACTAGCATGTCTTTACAGTCCCTGAAGCCGATGGGCCTACTGCTTGTCTCGCTTAGGAACTCATGGCCTGGGGACTTGGCTTCTGTAGCTTTGGTCTTGGCCTCAGGGGAGAGAGTAATGCATGTTTGTCATCTCTTGAGTTCTTTGGTTGTATTTCTTGATTTTTCTGAAGCTGGTCACCCAGTGCTATTGCCAGTAAGGCAGAAGTAAGGCCCTCCCTCCCCCTTCGTCCATGGTGGTCCAGAAACAGTGGCCCTACCCAAGTCCTCCTTCCCAGAGTCTTAAACTGTGTATTTTTTCTTCTCTTCAGCGTCCCCAACTCCTGTCCAGCCAGTCCCCGAGGAGCTGGGTCATCAGGTTACCGCTTTGTCCAGAACGTGACTTCAGACCTTCAGCTGGCCGCGGAGTTTGCAGCGAAGGCCGCCTCTGAGCAGCAAGCAGACACGTCTGGTGGGGACAGCCCCAAGGTGTGAGCCTCAGACATGTTGTCATGGTGACCAAGACCCCACAGTAGGGGTCCTGAGGGTGACTCAGATGGGGTCCTTCAGGGTACAGCACATGGCTGTGCTGAAGGATCTACCTGTACCATTTCCCAAATGACGCGCTTGACCATTTGTGGTGAGCTGGAGTCCTGTCACCCAGTTCCCACTTGCTGCAACCACTACTGGTGAGACAGTTTCGGAGTTTAATAATAGTCTTGAAGACAAACGACACAGTTTCCCTTCTTTTCTGCCCGCTCTCTTTTGACAGTCCTGGGAACTGAACCCAGAGCAGTTTGTCACTCACTAACCCTCTTGTTACCTTTTATTTTGGGACAGTCTCACGCAGTAGCCCAGGCTGGTTTTTGAACTTGTGGCCTTCCTGCTTCAACCCTCTGAGCAGCTGCGATGACAGGCCTGCACCCGCAGGCCCAGCCACACTTTTGTCGTCGTCGTCGTTGTTGTTGTTGTTGTAACCGTGTGTCTTTGTTTCTTTTTATTTGGTTGCTGACTGGGGGATAAGAACTGTAGAATTATGATTCAAAACCTGTTTCTCTCCTGTGAGGTGGGGCTTGGTGTTTCTTTTCTGTTCCTTCTCTCCTGTGTCTGTCTGCACACACATACATATGTGCAGCTGTGCTGGCCCACACCGCATCTTTCTCAACCCTTCTCCACATCGTTTTTTCAGACAGGATCTTTCACTGAACATGGCGCTCACCCTTTAATCTAGGCCGGCCGGTCAGGAGTCACTGGGGTTACAAGTGTGGCACCGTGTCTGGCATTTTGTGTGGGAGCTGGGGATCCGAACTTGGGTCTTCAGGGCTACACGGCAAACACTTCTTTTGTTTTCTGTTTTTTGAGAGGCTCATGCTGAGGCTGGCCTAAAACCCACAAGCACCTCACCCCTGGCCAAAGGGCACTGTTCTGAATTCTTATTGTTGTTGTTGGGGTTTTTGAGACAAGGTCTCAGCCATAACCCACACTAATCTCAGAATCAAGGCAATCCTCCTGCCTCAGCCTTCCAGTTACTGATAACAAGTACATTCCCCCATGTTCTATAGTTCCGAGTTTAATGCAAGCATGCTAATGGGTGAGGCAGGCTTCCCGGTGTGACTTAATCCTGACACTTCTGTCTGTTTTGGGAGTAGGTGGCCTGGCTTGGAGAGAGTCTATCCTATTTTCCCCCGTAACTCTGTCTTCTGTGAACCCTGCCCTCTAGGACGAGTCGAAGCCACCGTACTCCTATGCGCAGCTGATCGTGCAAGCCATCTCCTCGGCACAAGACAGGCAGCTAACACTAAGTGGCATCTACGCCCACATCACCAAACATTACCCTTACTACAGGACTGCTGACAAGGGCTGGCAGGTGAGGCCCTGGGGGCCTGGGCTGTGCTTGGAGGCTCAGAACAGGAAACACTTACGGACTCAGTGCGTCATGTGAACAAACAGAGATACCTGGGTGTTTTCCCAGGTGGCACACAGTACCGTGGTGCTTCTGTGTGTGTCAGAGCCATTATAGAGACTGTTTTTGTTTTGTTTCTATGAAAAGCTCTCATGTAGCCCAGGTTGGCCTCAAACTTCTTATGTTGCCAAGGATGAGCTCCCGTTCCTGAAGTGCTGGGATTGCAGACATGTGCCACCATGCCCATTTTGTACAGTGCTGGGAATGAAACCCAGGGCTTCACGCATGCTAAGCCACATCCCAGCCCTAAGATGATCTGTTTTTACTACTTTTCCTTCATGTCTGGTTGCAACTTTCTTTTTTTTAGTTGTTTTGAGACAGTGTCTCATGTTATAGCCCAGGTTAGCCTTGAAATCATGGCAGTCCTACTGCCTCAGCCTCCAGAGTGCCGGGATCAGCCTTGAGCCACCACCACACCTGCTTACCAGTGGCATCTATACTTACTGGGCATTATAACCCGTGTGACTTTAGCAGTACAAGGCATCCATCATTTAGAGCAGCAGTCCATGTGCATGAGTTCTGTGCGTTTTATCTTTCGTGGAGGCAATGAGACCTCTGCATTGCACACAATGGGCACAGATTATATCATTTTATTCTTTTCTCTGTAATTAGCATTTTCTGTTGACTAGCTTATCCAGAAGAAACATTTTTTGTTTCTTTGTTTCTTTTATTTTGAGGCAAGGTCTCATGTAGCCCAGGCTGGCTCTGAACGTTCTTTATAGCCAACAGTGACCTTAAACTCCTGATCCTCCTGCCTCTACTTCCTGAGTGCTGAGATCACTGGGGTACACTAACCACACCTGGTTTATGTTGTGCTGGGGATGGAGCCCAGGGCTTCCTGTGTGCTAGGCAAACATTGCACCGACTGAACCACAACCCCAGCTCCACAAGGAGTTTTTCTGAGTCAAGGGCTCACTATGTAGCCCAAGCTGACCTTGAACTCATGATCCTCCTGCCTCAGCCTTCCATGTACTGAGAAGAGAGGCATGAGCTCTTGCACCCAGCTTTCAGGATGTGCTTTGAACCCGGTCAGCCTCATCTTTTCTCTGTTCCCGACGAGATCCTGCATACTTCTCTGTTTCTTCCAGAAGAACAGGGGTGGATTTTACTGTGTGGAGTTTGCATAGGAGGAGCTACCCTGTGCCCCACATCCTCCCCTGGAGGGTGGTCACCTGCAGCCACGTGCCTGTCATCAGTTCCTGCTGCGTCTGTTGGGAGGTCTGCCCTCTGATGGCTGTGACCCACAGATGTCTCTCTCTGTCCCCTGCAGAACTCCATCCGACACAACCTCTCTCTTAACCGTTACTTTATCAAAGTCCCTCGGTCCCAGGAGGAGCCTGGGAAGGGCTCTTTTTGGCGAATAGACCCAGCTTCTGAAGCCAAACTCGTGGAGCAAGCATTCCGAAAGCGGAGACAGAGAGGCGTCTCCTGCTTCCGCACCCCTTTCGGGCCTCTGTCGTCGCGGTAAGACCCCGTCACTGTCCTCTTGCTCTTCTGAGAAGCTAGGTTCCCCGGGTCGCAGCAGTGGGAGGGACTTAGAGCTTGAAGACTTGGTCTGTTTTCTGGGCTCTTAGACAATTAAGCTTCTATCTTTGTTGCTTTTTAGTTTCAAGGCAAGGTCTCAACTTTGAGCAGATTGGCCTTGAACTCATGGTAGCCCTGCTGGACTTGCAGGCGTGCATGACACACCCAGTTCTGACTCCTGTGCTGGTTGGAGCAGTTAGTGAGGTGGCTACTTCTGTAGTGTGTGCAGGAGGCAGAGCCAGCCATAACCAGTTTAAAGGGTGAGGGTCCTGAGCTTTCACTGAAGGGCCAGAGGCGCCCCTGCTGATTTGGGGACCTTGAGCTCCCTCTCCCATTAATGGAGCCATGTTGGGAGTACAACTTCTCTGCTGGCAGGCAGGACTGGATGGATGGACTCTCCACCATCAACAGCTCCATTGAGCATTGCACGTACCTGGCAGGCAAAGGCCATTTGGACAGCTCTTTGGCCACATGTGGTTCATAGGAGCTGCTGCTTCTGTGGATAGCTGTTGAGTCTGCTCTCTGTGGTCACTCTCAGATGATAGACTCCTGACCAGCATAGGTCAGGTGACCAGCAAGTGGCAGGTACTCTCAGAAATCCCTCCATCTCTAGAAAAGCAGAGTCTAGTACTTTCTGTCCCAGTGTCATGGTGAGCCAGGGAGGGATTTCTCAGGAATAGGAATGCCTGCATCGGCACTGGACTCTCATAGTTCTTAGATGTCACAGTCATTGTGGTCATCCAATAGCAGTTTGCATTTTTGTAGTACTGGGGATTCTAGGCAGGTGCTCTACACTGAGCCACACTCCAGCCCCTCACTGGGGGATTCTAGGCAGGTGCTCTACACTGAGCCACACCCCAGCCCCTCACTGGGGGATTCTAGGCCCAACCTGTTCTACTTTTCATTTTGAGTCAGGTCTTACTAAGTTGTCCGGGCTGGCCTTGAACTCATTCTATAGCCCAGCAGGCCTTGAGCTTAAGATCTTCCTGCCTCTGCCTTCCAAGTAGCAAGGATAATGGGCCTGCATTGTCATTCCTGGCTACAAGCTTTTTCTTTCGACATAGGCAGAGCTGCTCCTGGAGGGTGGTAGGACTTTTTAGGCAGTGCATGCTAGAGGATGTGCAGTTGCTAGGAAACAATCCTTCCTCCACCCCTTCAGCCCTGTTTAATGGAGCATCTACCCACCCAGCTCCCCACTGAGTGGAAATGGCAATGCTGGGTCTTTGTCAGCAGGGAGCATTAGATCTGGGAAAACCTTAGGGAGATAAGAGAGAAGTTCCCGGAAGTGTAGGGCAGAGACATGTGGAGATGGGGTGGATTCCGGGAAGTATGGGGCAAAGACATATGAGGTGCAACCTTAGGAATTGTTGGGCAGGGGTGGGGTGGGCTGTATTCCAGAAATCATTGAGTTAGCTGTGGGAGTGGCCATGGGATGTACCTTAAGAATCGTTGAACAGAGGTGTGTGTGTGTAGGGGGGTGTTTGTCTTTGTTTGTATTTTACTTTTGTTACGATGTACCACCTCGGTGCACCCCTTTCTCATCATTTCAGGAGTGCTCCAGCTTCACCCACCCACCCTGGACTGATGTCCCCTCGTTCCAGTGGCCTGCAGACCCCAGAGTGCCTGTCTCGGGAAGGCTCCCCCATTCCACATGATCCCGACTTGGGGTCAAAGTTAGCCTCTGTTCCAGAGTATCGCTATTCCCAGAGTGCCCCAGGTAAGACATGAGTTCATCCTCTTCCTGCATGTGAGAGACTGGGAGGCACCCACTCAAGTAAGTCACTGTCCTCTGTGTCATCCCGCAGGCTCCCCTGTCAGCGCCCAGCCCGTGATTATGGCTGTCCCTCCCCGACCTTCCAACTTAGTGGCTAAGCCTGTCGCCTACATGCCAGCTTCCATAGTAACCTCACAGCAGCCCTCAGGCCATGCTATCCATGTGGTGCAGCAGGCCCCCACTGTCACCATGGTGAGGGTGGTAACCACCTCCGCCAACTCAGCCAACGGGTACATCCTCGCTAGCCAGGGCTCCGCCGGGGGCTCCCACGACACAGCAGGCACAGCCGTGTTGGACCTGGGCAATGAGGCAAGAGGTAATGTGGCCGCAGCTGTGTTCCCAGCACAGATATCACTGTTGGGCAGTTTTCACTATGCAGGGCAGTGGGTAAAGGGAAGTGGGTCTTGGGTTACTGTCTTTTTTTTTTAAGGAATTTAAGGATTGTCCCTGGGTACTTACTTCTTCCTTGGTTGACAGAGCCTTCTGATGCTCAAAGCTGTTTGCTTGAATTTTGTTTCCATTCAAGGTGACATTCAGGTTGCAGTCCTTATTTATCTGTTTGTTTGTCTGTTTAGAAGACCTATTTTCATTATTTGTGTGGATGGGTGTTTGGTCTGCAATGTCTGTGCACATGTGTGCAATGCCTGAGGAGGCCAGAAGAGGGCATCAGATACCCACCTATGTGGGGGCACTTAACCACTGGGCCATCTCTCCAGCCCCTATTCATTCATTCATTCATTCATTCATTCATTCATTCATTCATTCATTTTTGCCGGTGTTGCAGTATGTATCTCTGCTGGGCTGGCTTCAGACTTACTGTCATCTTGCCTCAGCAGTGCTGAGATTACAGGCACGCACCCATGCCCACCTCCAAAAGAAATCTGGTCTAGGGAGTTTATGGGGTAGATATTGGCAGTGCACCCAGTTTGTGAAAGGCAGCCCCAGAACTTTCTAGAAAGCATTATCTCTTGGTTGTTATTCCCACTGGGAACTCAATTTCAATGTTAACTTTGTATTTTATTGTTGTCATTATGGAAACAGGCTTGGCCTGGTGGCAGAGACTTGTCCTCCCAGCTACTGGGGAGGTGGAGGCCAGCTTGGGCTGTACAGCAAGCTCAAGGCCAGCCTGGGTAACTTAACTAGACTTTGTCTTAAAAAAAAAAAAAAAAATTGGGGTTGGGGCTTTAGCTCAGTGGTAGAGTGCTTGCCTAGCAAGTGCAAGGCCCTGGGTTCAGTCCTTAGCTCTGGAGAAAAACAAAAACAAAACAAAAAAAAAATTAATGGGGGGTTGGCAATGGGGCTGGGGATGTAGCATGCATGTGGCCTTAGATTCAATCCCTAGTACCACTAGCAACAACAAAGTAATAATAATTCTAGTCATAGAAATGACATCTTGGTGAAAGAGATGGTCACAGCCCTAAAAGCAAGCTGTCTCATTTCAAACAATACATTTTGCCTCACAGATTAAATTGGGATTGGTTGCAGTTGAAGGTTTACATAGTTAATTCATTTTTATTTTGTTTTTGGTGTTTGAAACAGTCTTGTGAAGCCCAATACTGACCTTGAAGTCTGTGTAACCAAGGATGACTTTGAACTCTTGATTCTCCTACCTCCACACCCAGCATGTTCTATAGCCCTGTTAATTTAAATATATGTCCAAAGATTTCCTTGGAAAGCCCTCTCTCCCAGTAGCCAACCTTATGCTGAGACCTTGGTGGGACTTGGTGGCCGGGGCCATGTGTGGTTCTGACTGGCTGCCCGCCCCACAGGTTTGGAAGAGAAACCCACCATAGCATTTGCCACAATCCCTGCAGCCAGCCGAGTTATCCAGACGGTCGCCAGCCAGATGGCCCCAGGAGTCCCTGGACACACAGTCACCATCCTACAGCCAGCTACACCAGTGACTCTCGGGCAGCACCATCTTCCAGTCCGGGCTGTCACTCAGAACGGAAAGCATGCTGTGCCCACGAATAGCTTAACTGGGAACGCTTATGGTGAGGCCCCAGCCTGCCCTCGGCCTGAACCCTAGACGCCAGGGACCTGCCCGCAGGCAGTGCAGCTCAGGAAAGCGCTTGCTTTTCCCATCTACTAGGCTCAGTGGCCTGAGCATCTAGCAGGGAGCCCAGATGTCACCTAGGGTGATAGGAGGTCAGAGGAGGAAGTCAGGGGGCCTGCAGGGGTCGGGGTGCTAGTGGCTAGGCCCCTGTGTGTCAGAGTACAGTAGTTATTTTTCTTGTGCTATAATAAAACACCTGGTACCAAAGGCAACTTCGGGAGGGAAGGTTTCTTTTGGCTTACTTTGGAGGTACAGCCATCATGGTTGGGAAGGCAAAGCACAGTCAGGCAGCTGCCGAAGGAGAGGAAGCTGCTCCTCAGCTCGCTTTGTACTGTATTTAGTCTTCAGGCCCAGAGTAGGATGGTGTCACCACATGCAGGACAGGTCTTCCCTCTTCATGACCCCAATCTAGAAACTTCCTCACAGACATGCCCCGAGGTTTGTTTCCATGGCACTTGTAAATCCCACTGAGGTGATAACCAAGGTTAGGTAACACAGAGGGTCGAGAGGGGAGGGAGGGATGTCCTCAGGGTGACAAGCAGCAGCAGGTGAGCAGGATGAAGTCGGATGTTGGGTGTCTGACCTAGACTTACCATGGGTAGGGAAGAGATGCCTGTGTGAGGAATGGACACTGTGGCTCTGCCTTTACTGCTCAGATCAATTAGTGGTGATCCTTAAGTAACCTCTTCTTCCTGCTACCAGCCCTCACCAGCCCCCTGCAGCTCCTGGCAGCCCAGGCGAGTTCATCCACACCAGTGGTCATCACCCGGGTGTGTGAGGTAGGGCCTGAGGAACCAACAGCAGCCGTCTCGGGGGCCACCAATGCCACACAGACCCCAGCAACCTCCACTACCACATCTGCCTCTTCCAGCGGGGAGCCCGAGGTCAAGAGGTCCCGGGTAGAGGAGCCCACTGGGACAGCCACCACACAGCCCACAGCAATGGCAGCCACTGGCCCACAGGGACCAGGTACCGGCGAGTGAAGTCACCTGCGGGAAGGTGCAGTGGGACTCACGCCACAGGTGCCCAGGTGGCCAGCTGCTGCACTCAAGGACGGAGTAGAGAGGTTGACAGCCGCCTGCAGCACATGTGCCACGAGGGTGACCGCCACACTTGGACAGTTTCCTTTTTATCTCTCCTGTCCTCCCATGGTTTGAAACAAAACACATAAACACGTTCAGACGACTTGATTGTATGAATCTGGGGGTTCTGTGTGTTTATTTACCCCTCCCTCATGCCATCACCTCTCCACAGTTCTTGTGGGAGAAGGTCTAGCCCAGCTCCTCAGGAACAGATCCCAGCCAGCACCCTCAAGAAGAGTGAGCCCCAGGATTGGACAGAAGTGCCACAGCGCAAACCCCGGCTGCTCTCCATGGGAGCCATCCACAGACTTCCTGTTTGTAACTCAGTGGGAATGGACCAGAGAACAGAGAATGGCGTGCGGCTGGGATGCAGAGTCTTCTCCCCAAAAGTGACATAGGTTGTGGCATTAATTGGGGTCAGGAGGTTACCTTGGCTTTGGACCCTAAAATATTTCTTACAGTTAAACATGGAATTTGGGCTCATCTCAAAACCTGAGACACACAGAAGGGTTCACGTGTCTTTGGGGTTCCCTATGGTAGCCAGCTGAGCAGTCAGTAGCAGACCCAAGCACTCACCCACACCAGCCCCTGGTGAACATGCCGCTCTCCCCGATAACTTCAAGAAGGATCAGCGGCTCCAACATTGATGTTGCAAAGTCCTTTGGCTGGAAAACCAGCCCAGGGCCAGTGGCCGTGGCATCCATTCCCACAGCACTGGCTGAACCCAGAGTGGCAAGCTACAACGGACATCCAGGGAAACCTGGGCAGCTTCAGGGGATGTCAGCCAGCCCCTTGCTCAGCAGGGAGGATATTGGTATGTGCCCGTGGAAGCTAGCAGGGCATGTGTCCTGTATTTCCGGCAGCTGGAGGATCTGGGCAACCATCTGCTCACGTTGCCTTCCCCTCACACATTCCAGTTTCCTGAGCACCCCAAGACGTGTCCAGTTTGCAAATGGAAACCCTCTCTTCTACCTGAAGCTGGGGGTCCCTGGCCGTTATCCACCGGAAAGGAAGCTACCTCTCCGGGCAGCAGTTGGTGCCAAGTTTGATTACAGTGTGGCAAGAACCAAAGTATGGAGGTCAGCCGAGGACTTGGATCCCCAGAGGTCCCTTTGCATGCCCAGACAAGCTACCAGCAGCACTTTCAACATACACCAAGTCGCAGGAGTAGGAGCCACTGAATGTTTCCCTCAGCTTGGGAATGAGATGGTTCTGCAGATAGTAACAGCAGCTGCATGACAGACTTGAAGGCATCCAGGAGCTCAGTGTTGGTCCTCCTGGAGGGTAGGCCATAAGCAACAGCCACCGCTTGGACAGAGCCCAGACCTATCCTTGGCATCAGACTTCCCACCAGCCTTCTTCCTCTGCCTGGGCCCGGTCAGAAGAGAGAGAGAGCCCCGTGAGCAGAGAGCAGGCAATCCCAGGAAAGGAAGGGGCCACAGCTGTACAAGCTGCCTTTGCTGGAAGGGATGCCAGCCAGTGACCTGGAGGCTATGGGGAGCAGGTGACCAGGTGGGATGAGTCCAAGCTCCACCCTACGGCTGCCACCACTGAAGCCGCCAGCCCCCCCCCCCCCCCCACATCAGGGACCAGTGCGGGGTGCCTTCCTCAGCTCTCTTGAGCTGTCATCCCAGCTCTCCAGCCAGTCGTTTCTGTAGTACTAAACTTCAAGCAGGAAGTAAGCTGTGTTTCGAAGGCCTCCTGTCTGTTGCCTGGGAGGTTTCAGAAAGCTGGGGCTGGGGTGGCAGTGACTGGGGGGAGGGTTTTCCAGGTGGAGCTGTCCCTTGGAATAAGCAAACGGCCCTGTCCCACATCTCTCTGTGCCTCGCATGAACTTGTTCTGTGTGCCTGGTGTGAGCATGAGGTTAGGGAAGCGGGAATGGGCTGAGGCCATAAGGGACATTAGTGCCACCTGTTGATTTTCCCTTCATTAGCCATTTACTCCAAGGCTGTGCATGGTCAGTCTGCAAGGCAGATTATTTGTGGATTGTCATGGTAGGCACTGTGTGCAGCCCCTGCATGGAACTGTGGGTCACCATCTGTCGCATCTGTCATCGGGTCTCAGTATGGCTCTCCTGGCTCCTGAGACATCATGGTGTCCATCTTCTGTGGCAGATCCTCTCATCATTACCAAAGGTGTGGAAGGATGTAGAAGGAGAGAGTGCCACACACACTGTCCTAGTGTCTACATGACCTTAAGGCCCTATGCCCCTGGTTGGGCAGCCTGAGCTAGAAAGGAGGAGGCTAGCCTGGTGCCGCTGCTCTGGAAGTGGATTTGGTCATCTACCAGGCAGCACCCTAGCTTTTTCCCACAGCCACAGACCCAGAATAGCCAGTGCTCAGGAATGCACAGCCAGCTGGAACTCGCTCCCATGAGCTCTGGGACATCAGGTAGAGTCCAGCTAAGCTATGTGTGGAAGCCAGAGCCTGGGTCAGGGGCCAGGAAGACCATGACCATCTACTGTGTAGACCATGGCTGGCAACCCTGGAGGACCTCACCAAACCCTGTGGTTGGGGAAACAGTTCAGGGACAGATGTGACGCCTGGGGACCTATTCCTCAGGGTACACAGGGGCTCCCATCTCTGGCAGAGCTTTATCTGAGCTTGCCTTGTTTTGGAAAGTTCCCTGGCAGATCAGGTGCCTGGCTGTCCACACATCCACTGTCTTCTGTTTTGTGTCTGGGACTCGCCAGACTCACAGATGCTGCGCGCATAGGAAGTCACCATGGTGACTGGAAGTGAAGAGACCCTGCCTGAGAGCCTGCCTGCGCTCTCTCTCTGCTCCTTCTCCCCTGCCCATCTCCTTCCTCCTCCTCCTCCTTTTTCCCTTCCTCCTTCCCTTTACCTTACCCCTTCTGTTCCTCTTTTGCTCCCTCATCCTTGCCTCCTCTGTCTTCTCCCCACCTCAGCTTTCAGCCTGGCACCCAGGGCATGATAAACATGTCTGTCATCAGCTTCTGGAGCCTTGCCTTTGTGCAAGGTGGGGTATCTGACTCACTAGCCATAAGGAAGCCCCACAGACCCTTCCCCTGCTTTCCACATCCTTATAATCTAGAGATCTACCACCTCCCCGTCCTGCCCCTCGCCAGGCTTGCCAGGGTCTGAGATTATAGGTGCCACCCAGCCTACCACAGTATCCCGGGAGAGCCGGAAAGGGGTACGTCCAGGTGATGGGGTCCGTCTCTTCCTTTAGAGAAACAAGGCAGTGGTAAAGGAGTCCATGCACGCAGGAAACTTTTCCCATAGAGAAGAAGCGGTGGTGGAATGGAATGCTACTGCTTTTCCTCAAAAACCTCAAATTCCACAATGCACCCATGTGACGTTGCCTACTCTGGGGTGGGCGCCCCCACCTTGCTGACAAGCCCCTCCCTCCCCATCTGAATAGCTCAGTGCCTGCTCTAGCGTAAGTCAGAAGGTCTCTATTCTGGTGAAAGACCCCTTGTGTGGGGAGCATCACATCCCAGTCACTAGTGGTAAAGTCACCACAAGTGACAACAGGGTAACCCCTTGTTTGGGTTCAGAGTGACAGAGCGCTTGCCTAGCGCCTCACCTCAGAATACCTCTGCTTAGAAGCAATATACAAAGGGTAAGTCAAGTTGTTCCCAAGATCACCTCTGCTGACTCCAGCTTCCTCGAGAGCAGGACCTCTGACATGCACTTTGGCTTGGGGGAGGCAGATGAGGGCTGGGGACAAACAGTAGCCAAGGCCGCCTCAATTCCACCTGCCACTTCAGTCCTGTCCCCAACTGAATGTCCCCTTTCATCTGTGAGTCCCCTGCCCCAGGCTTTGAATTCAAGGTGGTTCCTTCTGGGTTTCTGTTTTGTTTCTTGTGGTGCTGGAGACTAAACTCGGGGCTTTGTATGGGCTAGGTAAGCCCCTAGGCAAGGGTTCCGCTGAGCCACACTCCCAGCCCTTCGGATTTTTTAAACTTGAGACAGGGTCTCACGAAGCTTCCTAGGCTGGCCTTGAACTTGCAATCCTCTTGTCTCAGCTTCCTGAAATGCTGGGTCTATGTGCCACCATAGCCCAGTGCTCTTGTCTTTTTGTGTTTTTTTTTCTTCCTCCCTCCCTCCCTCCCTCCTTCTCTCCCTCCTTCCCTCCCTCACCCCCCTCTCTTTCTTTTTTCTGTACCAAAAGCTGCTACATTGGTAACACAGAGCAAGGTGTGGCCTAGATGCCTCACAGACTAGCACTTGGCACCCACTTTCCATAGCCTGTGGTTTGAACAGTTTGGGAATGTCATTCTTGGGGTCACTGCTTCCCTCCCTCTGCCCTCCGCATCGCTAACCCCTGAAGTCACACCTGCTTGGCAAGTGGCGTTCTGTGACCCAGCCTCAGGCCCATTTCACTGACTTTGTTTAGGGAAAATAGTTTTCTACTTGTGTTTAAAAAATACAAAAGCTACTTGAGTGCTCCTAGCTTCTGGTTCTACTTGCTCCTCTGCTCTTCTTTTCCACTGCTCTGAGCTTCTCTCTAGCAGGCTTCAGCTCCGCTGCTGCAGGGAACATTCTAGAACTACCCTCCAGGCGGCTGGCGCACAACACCCTGGCAGGGCTGTCCCACAGATGAGGCCAGCCACATGCCTTATCCACAGGTACCACCTGGGTGTGAGGCAGGACAGAGGGTCTCCCGAAGTTCTTGGTGAGAGGAAATGGCTAATCAGAGGCTAGGGGGAGGTGAGCCAGCAGGATTGGAAGCTGAGGGCTGCCCTCAGCTCTGTCTTAGCCCTCACAGCTGGTGCAGGCAGGGGTAAAGAGAGCAGATCTCTTAATCATGGGTATCTCTCTCCAAGAGGAAACTTCACTGGAGGGCTTCACTTACTGTGAAAAGCAGTGTATGCGTTTCTATACTTGGGCTCAACCACCAAACACAGGCTTCCTGGGACCCCCAGGACTTCCTCCTTCATCTGCCCCTAACCCCCGCTTCGTGAGAGTTAGAGGGGTGAGAGAGCTTGCTGCCTTACCTCTGGAATCCTTGCTGCTCTGACTGTTCACAAGGTGAACCATGTTGAGGAACCTGGGCCCCAGGAGCCGAGGAGAAGCTTGAGGGTGGACAGTGGCCAGGCTTGCTCCACGCCCTCTGCATCTGAAGCACTTGCCCTCATCAGAGCAACCTCAGCACTGTCCCCTGAGTCCCTGGGACTGTGCTGACCCTGCTAGAGTGACCCTCGTGATCCACTAAGTATTTATGTTCTTTGTCCTGTGTGTATCCACATGACAAACATGGCTTCTTGAGTCTGAATTGGCTGAAACTTTAATTTTTAATTGGTAAAATTGGGAATAAAAAAAAAATCTAACATTTTCATTTTTGCCCCTCTCTCCCATCTTTACTTTTTAACATCCTTTCGGGGGTGGGGGACATCTGGGATCCCTGATAATACCTTAGCTTGATTCCTGGGCTGGGAAAAGGTGGTGGGGGCAGGAAGAAGAGACCCAAACTGTCTTCCAGGTCTCTCCTTGAATTCTGCTGTGTCCTTGGCGGGGCCAGCAGCTGTGCACGTATGAGGGAGGGGCTAAAGCCGGTAGTGAGGTCTTTCTCTTTCTTAACTGAATGATAATTCTGTAAAAGTAATTGGGGGGAGGGTGTTCAGGGAGTATGTGTGTGTGTGTGTGCGCGCGCGCGCGCGCATGTGTGATTTTGTTTTTGTTTTTTACAGTGGCTGTCTAAAGTATTTTCATGATATGTTTAACACGTAGTGCTTTAAAAGCAGTGGTATCCTATGCGCTGGGAATCCTGGTTCCAGAGATGTGCCCCACCTTGGTGGGTGAAGGTCCCACCCAGGAGGCAGGGGTAAGGCCTGGGGTCAGAAAGGCCTGTGGACCCACATCCCAAGCAGCACCACCTGGGCATTCATTTCAAACAGGATACAGTATTTTTTTATAACAGAACCATCCTTTTTTTTAAAAAAGAGTTTGACACCTGAATGTGATTTCTAACTATTATTAGACGTTAATGTTTTAAAGCTATAACAAAGTGGAAATTTTCTACTTCTTTTTCATCCATTTGAACTGTTCTTTTATCTATTCAATTGTTGTATGTGGCTGGGGAAGCTCTGTTTTCTCCTCTTAGCGTTTGTTTCTATAACCAGAAATAAAAATTATATATTAAAGAGATGTACCCAAGGGTGTGAGTGGTCCCTGTGAGTGGCTGACTATGGAGGGCAGACAAATTAACAGATGGCCTGGTCCCTGCTCTCAGGAGCGAGACTTGACCCCCAGGTGTTTCAGAGGAGGCAGGGAAATGACAGGGACTCTGCTTCCTTCAGGGTTTCCTGGGTGACCAGTCCAGGAAGAGATGGGATCAGGGAGAGTCCTACAGGTGTCATCATCTGAGGACATGGTTCCCTATGAGTCATCTGAGCTCCAAGGATATGGAGATGGTTCACAGATGACAAGGGAGGAGCTAGCCTGTGTCTCCCTGACTCGTGACACGGGTCCAAAGCTGGGTCAGGGTGTGTCTCCAGGTGTCTGTGTGTCTTGTTACTCATCTGTTGCTGTGAGGAGACACCATGACACAGGTGTTTAGTTTGCGGCTCACAGTTAAGGGGGTTAGAGTCTGACCATCATGGCAGGGAGCACAGCAGCTGACAAGCAGACATGGTATGGGAGCAGTAGCTGAGAGCTAACTGGGAAATGGTGTGGGCTCTTAAAACCTCAAAGCCTGACCCAGTGACACACCTCCTTCCAACAAGGTCACGCCTCCTAATCCTTCCCAAACAGTTCTACCAAAGGGGACAAAGCATTCAAGTGCATTAGCCACTGGGAGCCATTCTCATTCAAACCACCACACCATGGCTGCCTCAGTGGCTCTGGCAGACATCTGACACTCAGCCAGGTGAGAAACTCTTCATTTCTCTCCTTTTCTGTGTACATGTTCCTGGGTGTGACTACATGTGTGTGTGCATTTGTATGGAGGCAGAGGACAACCTTGGGTGTTCCTCAGGTGGTGTATGTGTGTTCACATGTGGAGGCACAGGTATGCACTGGCCACAGGAGACGTAGGCATGTCAAAGGACAACCTTCAGGTACCTGCCCTCACCTTTCCACCTTGTTTGAGACAGAATCTCTTTGCCACTGCATAAGCCTGGCTAGCAAGCCCTCTAGTTTCAGGAGACTCTCCTGCCTCCTCCCCTCTGCTGTAGGTGTGTTGGGATTACAAATCTTACACTATTGTGCATAGCTTTTACGTGGACTCTGGGGACCCAAACGCTGATTATCATTCTTGTGTGGCAGTCGCTTCCATGCACTGAGTCATCTTCCCTGCCCCACTTTGTCCTTTGAGACAGGGCTCTCACTGGCCTGGGACTTGCCAAGTAAGCTAGGCTAGCCCGCCAGCAAAACCCAGGGATCCACCTGTGTCCACTTCCCCAGTGCTGGATTACAAGTGTGTGCTTTATTCTTACATGGTTCTCATGCTTGCAAGGAAAGCACTTACCAACTCTGCTTCTGCCCATTTATCTGACACCTTGCTCATTCTAGGTCATAGGCACTAGGCCAGACAGACATGGGTCCAAGTTCCCACCATGACAGCTCCTCAGTCTACCTGAACACAAGTGAGTGAGTAAGTGGTGTGGGGGCCTCCTCATCTCAGAACCCCAGGCTAGCAAGACACTGGGTGCCTCTGACAGAATTCATAAAAATATGGCTGTCACACAGGTAACGTGTGTGTGTGTGTGTGTGTGTGTGTGTGTGTGTGTGTGTGTGTGTGTGTGTGTAGTGCCTGGATATTTTTATGTGGTGCTGGGAACTCAAGCTCTGGTCCTCATGCTTGCATAGCAAGCGATTGACTGACTGAGCCATTTCTCCAGCATACACACACAACTATTTTCCACTAATGAGACCTTCAAATAACCTGCTACAGATTTTTAAGAAACAGATCAAATATTATGCATGGTAATATTGTTTACCGGGTGTGCATGTATGTGTCGAGAAAGGGGAAATGATCAACCCTTGGCACACTGGTTTGTCTTGCTGAGGATGGAGCCCTCACACAGGCTGGACAAGTACTCTACCACCAAGTCACGCCCCCTAGCCCCTCACTGGGGGATTCTAGACAGGCACTCTACTACTAAACTATGTGCCTAGTCTTCTCTCCAGGCCCAGAACCTTCCACTTGCAGTTCCGGGATCAAAGGAAGCTGTTCCGGGGCCAGGAGGTCTGGATTCCAAGAACTATGGTTCCAGGGTTCCTTGGCTGACGGCTGACATAGATGCCCGGGAGCTGGCCCGGAACCGGCTTCCTCACTGCAACTGATGGCCCATGGCCTCCGCCCCGCCCACCTGACGCAATACCGGAAGTCTGTCTTTCGCTAGCAGGGTCCTCCCACGAGATGTGGCACCGGAAGCCGGCCCCTCATGCTCCAAGTTCTCCCACGTGACGCAGCCGGGGCGTGGGAGGGATGTGCTGGGGCGGGAGGGAGGAGTGAGAGCGAGACAGACGTCGTTCGGTCACATGACACATCATGTGACACCACCCGGAAGTCCGCGACTCGCTTCGGGCACCGGTGGCCTCTAAGCTGCGTCAGGATGTTCTCGGCGGGCGCGGAGAGTCTGCTGCACCAGGCCAGGTCTGCAGATCTGGGGCCGGGGCCACGGGGCGAGACAAAGCTAAGGAGGGGCGGGGAGGCGGTGGTCCCGCTGCGCGGCTCGGCTGGGTGCCCGTGTAGCGCCTGTCCCGGCCTCGGGACGCCTACGTGGAGTGTAAGTTGCACAACCCAACTAAGAAGTCCTCCCCATCGTGTCTGGTGCCAGGCTTCGCTGGTCCTGCACTGATTGCCTAGATTGCGCCTTCCTTCCCAACTAGCGGGTCCAAGACTTGATGGCATTTGATCAAACGAAGGGAGTGGCTGCCAGAAGCCCAGATCTGATGCATTTGGTAAACTTAAAAAGCAAAGGGACAAATCTGGACTCTAAGCTTAGGCCACTTGTGAGAGATTAAAATGTAGATAAGGTCTCTGGAATCTGGGGGAACAACAGCCTGAAAGAGCGTTAAAGTCTGGAGTCTGCAAACAAGACAGAACTCCGAGGAGGGCTCAATGGGTAAACGCCCTTGCAGCCAAGCCTGACGGCCTCGGTCCGACCCCTGGGACCCACGTGGAGGAAGGAGAAAATCAACTCCCTCAAGTTGTCTTCTGATCTCCACTCGAGAGCCCCTACATGCACATAAAGAAATACATGTAACAAATTAAAAACAAAAACAAAAACTCCCAAGATAATTATCGAAGATCTGTTAGAAAGTGTTTGGTGACCAAGCCATGCAGTCTGCCCACGGGCCCACCGCCCTCCTAGCAGAGGGCATAGTTTTCATTTTAAGCAGTGTGTTTCATGGAGACTTTAGTGTTGGTCAGCATGTCACCTCATGCCAGCACGAAAATAACGTTTCCCACTCAGATTCTGCTCAGGGTCATGGGGCAGGTGGATGAAAGGCACAGGGACTCATTGAAATGATTTTTGTCCTGGGAGGGGTCCCCAGGAGCAGTGGGGAGTTGTGGGAAAATTGGGTGGGCACTTTAAAGCTGTACTGAAGCTGTAGCCACACGATGCAGAGTATCTCTAGTTTGGTCATTTCATTCTCTGATTCATAGTGTATGTGGTTTATTACTGTGCCCGGGTTAGGCGTAGCTCCCTTTCCTCACCCAGCCTCTTCTGTGGTACCTTATATGACTCTGGGTGGAGGATGTAGAAAACAAAGTAGGCTAGGGTGGTGGCAAAGTCGTTGGAGATCATCCTGCAGCCTTCAAAGAGACTAGGACGTGCAGTAGCTGCCAAACAGCTGACAGGTCCAAAACGGGGCAGTGTGCAAACTGTGAGCCCTGTCTGGAGACCACAGTGGGGCTGTGAGCCATGGTTTAGGAAGTCAGAGGCCCTCTTCAGCACCCACAGGCTCCATCCAGTAATTTTTTCTTTTTCTTTTTTTTTTTTTTTTTTTTTTTTTTTTTGAGCGGGGAATAATTGAGACAGAGTCTCACTGTGTGGCCCCAGGAACTTACTTTGTAGACCAGGCTGGCTTCAAACTCAACAGAGTCCACTTGACTCTGCCTCCCCAGTACCTCCGCACCAGGCAATTCCTTCATCATGGGTCTTTATTTTGTGGTGTTGGCGATGGAACCCAGGGCCGCATGGTCTAGGCGAGCGCCCTTCTGCCCTGCTGCAGTCCCAGCCCTCTTTTCCTTGCTGTTAAGCTTGGAAGAGAAGCTGAGAAACTGATTTCCACGCTGATGCTTAGTTTAGTCTCAGCATTTCGAGTTAAGCCAGCAACATATTATATCAGGCTTATCTTACCCCTGCTGTAATCTTTGCTCTTCAGTGTAGCTTGTAGATTCCCTTTTCAAAAGCCGGAGGCTCACTGAAGCACATCTGAAAGGCAGCTTGAGCTCAAAGGTGATGGAGCTCAGAGGTAGAGCGAGTGCTTCCTTATCATGTGCAAGGCCCTGGCTTCAAACTCCATCAGTGCCAGTGAAGGTGGGGGCTGGGAGAAGCGGGTCATGGTCGTGCACACCCAGACATCTTGGGAGAACGAGGAAGGAGGATGAAGAGTTTGAGTCTGGGCTATGTAGTAAGTTCAGCCTGGGCTATATAGCCAGACTCTGGGGAGGGAGGGGACTTAGACTAAATAGTTTCGACTTTTGAAAGGTCCTTTTACTGAGTATGTTGGCTCACTCTTGAAATGTCAGTGCTTGGAAGTGGAGGCAGGAGGATTGCTGCAAGCTCCAGGCTAGCCTAGGCTACAAAGTGAGGCCCTGTCTCAAAACAAAGGAAAAAAAAAAAAGAAACCCTTAAAGTAGTGTTTTCTTTTTACCATTGGAACAACAGAACAAGGACGGATGAATCACCTTTTTTAAAGGGTGTCACCAGGAAACTGGGGGTGCTGTATCACAGTTCCAGGGAAGGACCCTGTCTACACTCCAGTTCCTGTAATCCTCCCTCACAAGCACTCTGAGCCTGGACGGCTCTTCCCTACTTTCTCTGTGCTGGTTAGGGATAGTCCCCCACTGGGGGATGTGCTTGTGGCTTAGGGCAGCACCATGATCCATGGTGGTATTTTGTTTGTGTCTTAACAAATAAAGCTTGCATGAAGATCACTAGACAACCACAGAGGCTAGGCAGTAGTGTCACACACCTTTAATCCTAGCACTTGAGAGGAAAAAGCAAGAAGATCAAGAGTTCAAAGCCACCCTGGGCTACATGAGATTGAACCAATCTAAAAGAGAAACAGAGCCGGGTGGTGGTGGTGCACACCTTTGATCCCAGCACTTGGGATCTCACATCTTTAATCTCAGCACTAGGGAGGTGGAACCAGGAAGTGAAATGGCTGGGCGGAGAGAGGACTATAAGGCGGGAGGAGACAGGAACTCAGCTTCCTTAACTAACCTTCAGTAGAGGTTAAGTTTCTCTAGTGTCCGGCTCCTTTACTGATCTTTCAGCATTTACCCCGATATCTGGCTCTGGGTTTTTATTATTAAGACCAATTGGGATCCATGCTACAGTGGTTCCCCTTCCTTCCTTAGGGAGATACAGGATGAGGAGCTGCATCGATTCTGCACCCGGGTCACTAAGCTGCTGCAGGAACCCCCTGGGCCAGCCACCATGGATGCCCTGCAGAGGCTCTCGCTCATTGTCTCAGCCACCAAGTACCCCCGGAGGTGAGTGGACAGCACTACTGTGAATCCCAGTGCATTCCCCAGACAGTCCCAGCCGGCTTCCCTGGGGTGTCAGTGTACTTGCCAGAGGCCTGACGTGTCCCCTGGTGGGTCTTGCCCTCCAGGCTGGAGAAGATGTGTCTGGACCTGTTGCAGACCACCCTCTGTTTGCCCACAAGCCCTGAGCAGCTTCAGGGCCTGTGTGCCGCTATCTTGAGAGAGATGTCACCTTTTGATGACCTGGCCCTGTCCTGTGATCACACCCAAAACACCCGGCAGCTCAGCCTTTTGGCCTCTGTGCTATTGGCCCAGGTAACACAGTTGTCACCATTGGGGATGAGGTGGTGTCGATGGCGGCATCTGTTTCTGGTGGTTCTGAGATCTCAGGAATACAGCAAGCTGGTCTGTGTCCCTCAATGTGTCCATGTGCTGTGAAGACCCACTCTGCCCAGAACTCATTCCCTTGGATGCTCTAATGACTATCTCAAGTGTGCATGGCACCCCCCATACCCCTATGCACACACCCCCATGCACACACCCCAGGTCTCTGTTGATAGCTAAGTCAGACTTCAGGGCCTGGCCCACCATTGTGATGTTCCTGAGCATATGATTCCACACTTAAAGAGCCACTGCAGTATGCCTTCTGGGGATCGAACTCAGGTCCCTGTGCTGCTGAGGGACTCACTTTACCGGTCCTCAACTACCTGTCCTGCTTTGAAGGGAGACAGAAAAGGAGAGATCAGATGTGTGAGCCAGCGCATCTTCAAGATCCTTGAGAACCGGCAGCCCGAGGGCCCCAGTGTCAGGCACCTCCTCCCTGTCCTGTCCAAGGTCATTGGCCTGGCCCCAGGCACCCTCATGGAAGGTACTGGACACTTCTTCCCAAAAGGCCTTCTTGGCTCCTTTCCCACAGCAACTGACTCTAGGGTGTGGTGGAAGGAGGGTTACACTGTTGGAGAACCCTGCATAACTTCCCAGGTTGTACCCATGGTGTGGGGGTCTGTTGAGCCCCATTTTCTCTTGAGCAAACTCGCCACCACCTGGGAACCTAGAGGCTTGACTTTCCATCACTGCACCCCTCCCCTTCCTACAGACCAGACCAACCTGCTCAGCAAAAGGCTAGTGGACTGGCTGCGCTACGCCAGCATCCAGCAAGGGCTTCCGTACTCAGGGGGCTTCTTCTCTACACCCAGGACCCGGCAGGTGAGTGGCAACTGCTTCAGGTTCCCAGGGAGCTGAAATCACAAAAGCTGTCACAGGCTTGGGACGAGGCTCAGTTGGTAGAGCATTTGCCTAGTGTGCATTAAGCCATGGGTTCAAGCCCCAGAACCACGTAAACTGAGTGTGGTGCTGCACACCTGCAGTCCCAGAACCTAGGAGGTGGAAGCAAGAGAATCAGGAGTTCAAGATCATCCTCAGCTACATAGCAAGTTTGAGGACAGAATGATGTGCATGAGACCCTGTCATAAAAACAAAACAACGCGACTCTGATAGTCCTCTGATAGTGCTCATTCTCTGTCTCCTATGCATGGATGTTGCACATAGCCAGTCTGACCAGACGTGTTCCTCTGGCGGTCCTTCCCCTTGGTTCCAGTCAAGTTTCTCATTGCTGTCTCTGCCTCTGAGTAGGGAGTGCCCAGGATGGGGGAGTGCACTCTGAGTCTGGCCAGCTCCCCAGCATGTGTGGCTCCTGCTCAGTGCCTACAGAGGAGGATGTGGACACATCTGAGCTGCAGTCATACCATGTGTCTTTAGGTCTTGGGGTAGGCCTGCTGGATCTAGGAGTGTGGATGCATCCTGCAGTACAACCTTGGAGAGGGCAGGTAGTGAGGCCCCTGGGCCGTGCTGGAGCTCACAGCCTCACATGATTTCTGTATTCCTGAGTAGTTCATGAGCCCACCAGGCTCATCCTCAGCCCTGTCCTTCCTCCCACAGCCAGGTCCCATCACTGAGGTGGATGGAGCAGTGGCTTCTGACTTCTTCACGGTACTCTCCACGGGCCAGCACTTCACAGAGGACCAGTGGCTGAACATGCAGGCCTTCTCTATGCTTCGGAAGTGGCTGCTGCACAGTGGCCCTGAGGACCCAGGCAGTCCAGATGCAGGTGTGCCCAGGGTGGGACAGAGAGGGGTAGAGAGCACAAGTACACTGTGACTTGGGTGCGGGTCAGGGGTGGGCAGGAGGCAGCTGAGCCCTATAAGGACACCACAGGTGTCTATAGGCCAAACAAGGAGTGTGATCAGTTTGGAGGCCAGCAACAGAGGCGCTCTGACCCCAGGAAGAGCCGAGAACACAGCCCAGCACCCTTTGCAGGCATCCTGATGTCTCCACATGGTACTCCCAGAGAGCCAGATGGATCATCCAGGGCAGCTACTCACAGGCCTATCTGATCTTGCCCCATCTTCGGACTTGGTTTATAGACAGTCAAACTCAGCTGTTCATAGTGGTACATGCTTATGAGCCCAGAACTTGGAGGTGCAGGCAGGAGGATCTCAGCTACATAGTTTGAAGCCAGCCTGGACTACAACCCAGGCTGTTTTGAGGCCCTGTCTCAAAAACACAAAACTAAGCTAAGTGTAGGGATCCCTACCTATCCTGCTGGCACCTGGGACGCTGAAGAAGTAGGATTATAAGTTTGAGACCAGCCTCAGCTACATAGCAGGACCCTATTTTATACGCTCAAAAACAAACAGAAAAACCTACTAGTAACCCAGACAAATTTGTGCATCTGGCACTGGTGACAACAGCCTCATACCCAATGACTTGAGCGACCTTGAGCACTCCAGGAAGCTGCTGGGCCGTGTGTCTGTCCTACAGATGTGTTTTCTCCTACAGATGACAAGTCAGAGCTGGAGGGCTCCACCTTGTCTGTGCTGTCCGCCACCTCCACTGCCAGCCGCCTGCTGCCCCCTCGGGAGCGGCTGAGAGAGGTGGCCTTCGAGTACTGCCAGCGCCTGTTAGAACAGAGTAACCGGAGTGAGTCCCCAGGCTACCACCACCTGGCCCCAGCCCACATTGCCCTCCAGGGTGGGGTCAAGGCAGCCGAGCTGACTGAGTATCTGATTTAGAAGAGCTGGCGGGGGAGTGGTCAGGACAGTGCATCCTTGTGTCTGAGGACAGGCCCTACCCGTGTGTCTAGCTCCTCACCTCTGGCATCTAAGGGTCCACCCATCTTGTACACACCTTATGGGCACCAGTCCCCGACCCCTGTCTGGTCATGTGACTGCTCATTGTCCTGGCCTCAGCTTCTAGGAAACAGGCTGCCTTGATATGGGGCTGTTTTGAGACAAGTCAATTTTCTCTTTTCCAGGAGCCTTGAGGAAGGGGGACTCCGACCTACAGAAAGCTGTAAGTGGCCTACAGGGTGGCTGGGGCAGGTGCTGCCTGGACCCCCTGACCCAGCTCAGTGTCCCTGCAGTGCCTGGTGGAAGCTGTGTTGGTGCTCGACGTGCTGTGTCGGCAGGACCCCTCCTTCCTTTACCGCACCCTCTCCTGCCTGAAGGCCCTGCATAGGAGGCTGGGTGAAGACCCTGGCAGTGAGCGGGCACTGGTGCCCCTTGCTCAGTTCTTCCTGAACCATGGTGAGTCTGGATACATGGGCAGTTTCTTCTAGGCACTCAGAGGCTATCACATGTACAGTTTTGTTTGGTTTGTTTATTGGCAGTACTGGGCATGGAACCCAGGTCCTTCATATACTAGACAAGTGCTCTGCTGCTGAGCCACACCCCAGCCCCTCACTGGGGGATTCTAGGCAGGAGCTCTACCACTGAGTCACACCCCAGCCCCTCACTGGGGGATTCTAGTCAGGTGCTCTACCACTGAGCCACACCCCAGCCCCTCACTGGGGGATTCTAGGCAGGTGCTCTACCACTGAGCCACACTCCAGCCCCTCACTGGGGGATTCTAGTCAGGTGCTCTACCACTGAGCCACACTCCAGCCCCTCACGGGGGGGGGGGTGTTTCTAGGTGAGTTTAATCCCCAGCCCTCTTTTTGATTGCTTTGTTTTGTTTATTAATTTGGTTTTTCTTTGTTTTGAAACAGGCTCTCATGTGTAGCTCTGGCTGACCTGGAACTCATAGAGGTCCACCTACCTCTGTCTCCCAAGTGCTGGGTTTAAAAGAGTGTGCCACCACACCTTAGCCTCTCTTTTATTTTGGAATGGGTTCTCTCAAACTTGCCCAGGCTAGTCTTGAATTTGGGATTCTTCTGTTTTAGCTTCCTGAGTAGCTGAGATTACAGTTCCCAGGCAAGCTCAGAACTCTGCTCTACCATGGGCCCATGAAAGTCAGACATTGAGGCCTACCCCCTTCCTGACAGTGTTCCCCGTGGGTGGTGCTCTGAGGCTAAGGGAGGCGACAGCATCTACAGGAAGCTTCTAGTTTTCTGGAGACATGTAGCCCTGGAGGCTCGGCCACACTGTCTGAGTTCTTTAACCCAGGTTACTGCAGGTGCTACTTCTGCAGAGCCTAATGCCCTGGTGGCCTCTGATGTCTTTCAGGGGAGGCGGCCGCCATGGATGCAGAAGCCATCTACCAGCACCTGCTCAGCAGGCTCCCTTCCGAGCGCTTCTACAGCCCGACCCTGGCCTTCGAGGTCATACACTTCTGCACACACAACCTGACTCTGTTTGACCCCCACTTCCTCAACCTTCTCAGGTTGAGCTTCCCTAGTCTGTTCAAGGCACGTGTGGGCGTCTTTGCAGGTGGGCCCAGGGCAAGGTTTTAGGGCTGGGAGTCTCCGTGTATCATAACATACAAACAGCATCATCTCAGACAGCCACATGGCAGCCAGACATGGTGCTACGTACATGTAATCCCAGCACAAGGGAGGCTGAGGCAAGGGGATCAGAAGTAGGAGTTCAAGGCCTGCTTCAGTTACATAGCAGTTCCAGGCCAGCCTGGGCTACGTGACACCCTGTCTCGAAAAGCAGACAAAGCTGGATGTGTCAGCACACACCTTTAATCCTAGCATTCAGGAGGCAGAGGCAAGAGGATCTCTAAGGAGTTCAAGGCCAGCCTGGTCTACATAGGGAGTTCCAGGATGGCCAGGGCCCCATAGGGACACCTTGTCTTTAAAACAAACAACAAAAAGAAAAACCTAAGGACTGGAGAGATGGTTCAGTGGTTAAGAGCACTGGCTGCTCTTGCAGAGAACCTAGGTTCAATTCCTAGCTCACAACCATCTGTTACTAATTCCAAGGGATCCAGTGCCCTCTGCTCGCCTCTTCAGGCACTTCATACACACAGTGCCCATACATACGTGCTGGCAAACTACGCATACACATGAAATAATATCTAAAAAACAAACTAATGTCATGCACAGGCAGGAGATGGCTTGTCTGACTTTGAGCTGGCCAGCTTCAGTTTTGAGATACCTCTGCTCCAGGAAGCCAAGCCTCCTGGGTACCAAATTGCAGATGTGTGCAGTCATGCCTGACTTGACCCATGGCATTACTCTGACTGGTGCATTCAGTCCATTACTACAAGCCTGTGATGGATCTGTGGGAGCTAGAGGTCAGAGGTCAACCTCAGGTGGTGTTCCTCAAACAATGGGGCCTCTCTTTGATCTGGAATTCTCCAAGTGGACTAACCTGTCTGTAGCAAGCCCCAGAAATCTGCCTGTCTCTACCTCCCCAGTGCAGGGCATGCACCACCACACCTGGAATTTGGGGTTCTGGGGGCTAGAACCAAGGTTCCCGTGTGTGCACAGCAAGTACTTTCCTGACTGGGTCATCTCCCAGCATTCAGTCCTTTTCCTAAAGAGTGATTCAGGAATGGCTAACTTCATTGCTGGCACAAGATTGGCTGCAAAAGACGAAATAGAAGAGCAGACATGGCCAGAGAGATGGCTCCAGCTAGTAAAGACACTTGATGCTGACAAGTGGAAGTTCCGTCCCTGGGATCCACGTGTTAAAACGAGAGACCCAACTCCTGCACGGTGTCCTTTGGCTTCCCACTTGTGTGCATGTGCACATGCTCACATTAACAGTAGTCAATGAAATCCTCAGAACATGGCCCAAAACCCACAGCCTCATCTCGGGCAGTGTGGGGAGGAGGGGGAGGGGTGGGGCTAGCTGCCCCATCTGAACAGTGTCTCAGTCGTGTGAGTTGGCAGTAGGAGGCCACTGGTTGAGGCCATGGCCAGCTAGCATCCTCCAGCCCTGTCTGAGCCACTGTGTGTCCCCCACAGTTCCTGGCTTGGAACAGCCCTCCCCTCACAGCCGAGTTCATGGTACTCCTCCCAGCTCTGGTGGATGCTGGCACGGCCGTGGAGATGTTACACGCCCTACTTGACCTGCCCTGCCTGACTGCTGCCCTGGACCTACAGCTCAGGTGGGCCCACTCTGCCCTGGTCAGCCCTGTCCCCTCCCATGCCACCAGCACCAGCGCTGCTGTCCTTACTGCTCCGACCCCTGGACCAGAGCCCCTGCAAGACTCCAGACCGCAACAGTACATCTCCGGTCCCTTCACCACCCACCCAGAGCAGCACCTGAGCCCCAGGGCTCCTCAGCACTTCTGTGTGCAGCAAGGGAAGTCTCCCAAGTTCTGCAGCCCAGGTTGCCTCCCCAGCCCTGTGAGCCTGTGATGCTTCAGCAGGTGCCCCTGGCATCGGGTCAAATAGGACCATGGTTGACTTGTGCTGAGAGTAGCATCCCAGCCCAGCTTCTGTCCTCTTAGGTCCACACAGACCCCATCAGAAAGGCCACTTTGGGATGTCTCCCTCAAGATTCCTAGCTGCCTGGAGGCCTTCCGGGACCCACAGCTCCAGGGACTCTTCCGCCACCTGCTTCGTACCAAGGCCAGCGGCTCCACAGAGAGGTGGGAGCCCTGGGCCAAGCAGCACAGCCCATGATGTGAGACTTTGTGTTCTCACTCTCAGCCTGGGGAGGGAGCCTTGGTCCCCATCACTGCAGCCCTGGGCATGGAAGGGCTCCTGGGCCCAAAGCCTGGGCTCCACTCCTTGACCCAGCCGTCAGTTGATTCTGTGAGCAGTCCACTCTATAGATGGGAAAACTAAGGTCTAGCATATTCTAGGGAGTAAAAGGACCAGGAGTGGCCTGCAGGCCTCTGAGGTCAGCCTGTGCTGACCTGTCCCCGGCTCTGCTTTCCTGGAGCCCCTGACATCTCCTGGCCTCCTTGAGCCCCGTGGAGCAAGTGAACCATGGCTACCTGTGTCTGGCCACAGCATCCCTTTCTCTGGTTGCTGTGGGGTCACTCAGGAAGTAACAGTGAGTGAGCACTCAGTAGCCCCACTCTATCCCCAGACTGATGCCACTTCACCAGCTGCTGAAGCCCATGGCCAGCTGTGCCCGGGTAACCCAGTGTGCAGAGGCAGTACCCATCCTGCTTCAGGCCTTCTTCTCAGCCGTGACCCAGGTGAGCCCACCGCCTGGGTCCCCTCCCATATAGACCTCACATAGCCAAGAGGAACCAGGCCAGAGCACCGCAGGGAGGTTTGTCTTGCTGCACCCTCCATGGCTTCTCTGAGTAAGAGACAGGGAGAGGACTACTCATACTTCAGCCCTCAGGGTGAGGCAGGCACATGACCCTCGAGGCTGGCAGCACAAGCTAGGGCCAGAACAGCATGAGCCCCAGTGCCCTGGGGCTCCCATGGCCCGATGGCCCTCTCCTGGCCGCATGTTCACAGGTTGGATGACTGCAGGCCCACAGAGCCCCTTGAGGTAGGCTAGTAACAGAATGGGGCCCTTTGGGGTCACCCAGATAGACAGGACAGAACCTGGCCTCGGGGAACAGGCTTATTTTTTTGTTCTTGTTTTTGAGACTCTACCTCTGTATAAACCCACTGGCCTAGAGGTCACCATGTGGACTAGACTGGCCTCAAACTCTGATCCCCCTGCCTCTGTCTCCCAAGTGCTCAGGTTAAAGGTTTGTACCACTGCGCCCTGCGCCCTTCAGCAGAGCAGGGTCCTAAACGAAAGATACAGGGCAGGAGCAGGGCTGGCGAAGCTGGGACTTCCAGGTCCTCTCCTAGCCCCCACTACACCCCCCCCCATCCCTCAGGTCTGCGGAAGGGAGGGAGGGAGGGAGGAGATTCACCCCTAAGCCATGCTCCCACTTTGTGGCCTCAGCCCTCCTGAGGGTAGAAGATAACAGTGCCCACTGCCCAGGACTGAACTCTTGTTCTTGACCCCAGTTTGCTGACGGGGCCCTGATCAACCAGCTGGCGCTGCTGCTCCTGGACAGAAGTGACTCCCTCTACCAGGTCCCTCAGTATGAGGCCCATGTGCACAGGTAGGCTCAGCCCTAGCAGGGTCACCAGTGCCTGTGGCACACAGACGGGATCCCTCTGCCTCTCCTGTCCTGCGCACAGGCTAGGGGTCTGACACTCTGCTATGCTGCCAGCCCCTCCCTCCTTCATCTCATCTCCCATTCAGGACATTCTGATGCTGCCCTCCTCCAAGACTCTCTGTGCCCCTTCAGGGTGGCCTCATGTCTCTAGTGCAGAGGCCCCTGTCCACCAAGGTCCTTTTTCTTTAGGGCAGAGGTTCTCAACCTTCCTAATACTGCGACCTTTTAATGCAGTTCCTCATGTTGTGGTGACCTCTAACTCTAACCATAAAGTTATTTTCATTGCCACTTCATAGTTGTAATTTTGCTACTGTTATGAATCATAATGTAAATAATCTGATATGCAGGATTTCTGATATTCGACCTCAAAGTGTCACAACTCACAGGTTAAGAACCACTGCTTTAGATCATTTATTCTCAGACACATATACACACACATTAACCCTAGGGCCACCTGAGTGCTAGATAAGTACTCTACCACTGAGCCACACCTCAGCCCCTCACTGGGGGATTCTAGGCAGGTGCACTACCACTGAGCCACACCCCAGCCCCTCACTGGAGGATTCTAGGCAGGGGCTCTCCCACTGAGCCACACCCCAGCCCCTCACTGGGGGATTCTAGGCAGGGGCTCTCCCACTGAGCCACACCTCAACCCTTCACTTGGAGATTCTAGGCAGGGGCTCTACCACTGAGCCACACCTCAGCCCCTCACTGGGGGATTCTAGGCAGGCCATCTACTCTTCAGTTTTATGACAGGTCTCACTCCAGTCCAGGCTATCCTAGAACTCACAGCATTTCTCCTGCCTCTCTTTCACGTAGCCTGAATTTCAGGCAGGCATGTCCCCAGTGGAGTGAAAAGCTTTCAGTAGGGGGCAGTTCTTAATCTCCTGACTTCAACTGACTGCTCCTGGCTCTCTCCCATCAAATAAGCTGGGGTCAGATCTGCCCTGAGCACACACAATCTCACAGGGTTCCCTCTATCCTGGCAGGATGCTGAGCTCCCAGTTCCTGGTGCTGTGCAAGCTGAAGCCATCGCTGGTAGTGGAGCTGTCCCGAGAGCTTCTAGAGTTCATGGGGAGTGTGAGCAGCATCTGCAGCCGAGCCAGCATGTTCACCTGTGTGGTAAGTACATGCCCGCCCTCCCACCATCGGACAGGAAGCCCCGGTGTGTGCTGAGCCTCTGTTCTGGGCTTAGGTGTGGGCCATTGGCGAGTACCTGTCGGTGACCTGTGACAAGAGATGCACAGTGGAGCAGATCAACAGGTTCTTTGAAGCCCTGGAGGCCCTGCTGTTCGAAGTCACCCAGTCCCGTCCCTCGGCCGACCTGCCCTGCTGTCCCCCACAGGTGGTCACTGCACTCATGACCACGCTGACCAAGCTGGCCTCCCGGAGCCAAGACCTGATCCCAAGGTATCCAGCCAGGGAGCACAGAGCAGGAACCCATAGAGGGCAGCTTTAGGCAGCTGGTCCTTGGCAACTCAATACCTGAACCTGAACCCTTCTCTGCCCCAGGGTGTCACTGTTCCTGTCAAAAATTCGGACCCTGGCCCAGAACCCAGCCACCAACTCTGAGCACAGTGAGGAGGAGGCAGAAGCCATCCGTACCCGGGCCACAGAGCTACTGGCTCTCCTGAAGATGCCCAGTGTGGCCCAGTTTGTGTTCACACCCACTGCAGGCGTGTGCCAGCCCCGCTACCACCGAGACACCAACACGGCCCTGCCTCTGGCCCTGCACACTGTCAGCCGGCTGGTGGAGAAGGAGGCTGGCCTCTTGCCAGGTTGAAGGGACAGTCACCACCTGAACACTGGCTACAGCTTAAGAGCCTGAGCGGTCAGCCTGATATCAGAGCTGAGCTGCAGGCTTGGGTGACTAGAGTGGGGAGGAAGTGGACATGGCCCTCAAGATGACATCGCTAGCTCCTGGGGATGAGTCATCCAGCCTTGTCCCTGTGGCTGGCTGCACTCAGCCTTGAGCAGCTGAGAGATGACTGAGCACCGTTTCCCAGGCTGAGCAGAAGTGGCCCGGTCTGCTCACTGCTGTTAACTCATTTCTAGAGTTAGGGGCAAGAAGCAGTACAGGAACAATAATAAACTTCATAAAATTGCTTATGCTGGGCAGTGGTGGTGCAGCCCTTTAATCCCACTCTCGGGAGGCAGAGGCAGGCGGGTCTCTGAGTTTGAGGCCAGCCTGGCCTACAGAGTGAGTTCCAGGACAGCCAGGGCCACACAGAGAAACCCTGTCTCAAAAAATAAACAAACAAAACTGTAATTATGTGTAGGCGCATGCACACACCACAGCACACGCATGGAGATCAGAAGACAACTTTGGGGAGTCCTCTTCTTCATGTGGGTCCTGGCCGATTGTGTGGCTTGGTAACAACCAATTTTACCTACTGAGCCATCTTGCCTGCCCCCAAATAAACCTTTAAAATGCTATGTACAGCTGAAATCCTCAGACTGAGAGAGAACCAGGGAGCCTGAGCATGGCCTGGAGCCCGGCTCTTGCCCTTCCCACCCTGCCCTGTGTATAGGGAAATCCCTGGCTCTCTTGTTTGGCTCCAGTGTCCTGATGTGATGGAAGTCACATGCTCAGGAGTTGAGGCTGTAGCTTAGCCAGTGAAGTGTTACTCAGCAGGCACAAAGCCCAGCGTAACCCAGGCATTGTAGTGCATACCTGTAATCCCAGCACTTGGGAGGTAGAGGCAGGAGGGTCAGAAGTTCAAGGTCATCCTTGACTATGCAGCAAACTGGAGGGCAGCCTGGACTACAGAAGAAATTGGGCCTGGAAGGCGACTCAGCACATAAAAGGCTTTGCCACATAAGCCTGATGACCCACGTTTGACCCTGGACCCCAGATATAGAACCAGGTGCTGTGGTGTGCGCACACCTGTGGAGACAGCATCCTTTTAAAGCTCACAGGCCACTAGCCTGGGGTATACAGAGCAGCGGGAGAACAAGGTGGAAGGCAAGAACCAACTCCCAGAAGACATGCTATACCTTTTTATGTGGATAAGACATTTTAAAAGCCAAATAAAATTCAAGTACTCACAAGGATGCAGTGTCTCCTGGGTACACCTGCAGTGATGTCGCCTAATTATGCTGTTTCATAATTTAAGGCTGTGGGGAGGTACAGAGGAGTCCTATGTGCTCCTGTAGTCCTGCACAGAAGCGCCCAGGTTTCATGCTGGTGCTCAGGGCTGCAGGGGCCCGGCTTGAGCCTTTTTGCAGTTTCCCTGAGCTGAACTAGAGAGCTTCTTAGCAGCAGCCGCTCAGGTATATGGCCACCAGAGGGCGCCATTGCCTTTAGTCTATTGCTGGGCAAGCATTTGACCCTACCCACAGCTCCACCCTTCACTTTCTGCTTCTGGGCTCTGCATTGTACTCCTCTCCCTGTGTTGGGGCTGCAGCTCTGTAAGGAAACACAGGCTTAAGGCTACAGCTGAGCTCTGTGGCAACATGGGGTACTCCTACCCAGGCCACAGGAGTGCTGCAGCCCACGTGGACCTTTTGTCTAGGTTTATGTTCAGGGAAACCTTTGCTTGTTGTCAGGAGGCCTGCTGTGCCCTGACCAAAGCCCCTCCCTGAGCTGGGCCTGGACAGATGTGCTCAGAGAGTGACCCACTGTGTCTGTCTTGTGCTACCTGTTCCCTGTGAGGGCAGCTACCCCTAGAGCAGGGGCAGAGGAGGCAGTGGTATTGCCATGATCTTCATTCAGGAACACAGGTGGTTTAAAGAACTTAGCCTCTTATTTTACGTGTGGGGGTGTTTGCCTGCATGTATGTCAGTGCACTGTGTGAGGGCATTGCATGCAGAGGTCAGAGGGCATCAGACCCCCTTGGAACTGGAGTTACCAGTGGATTACCATGTGGGTGCTGAGAATGGAACACATGTCCTCAGGAAGAGCAGCCAGTGCTCTTAACCACTGACCCATCTCTTCAGTTCTGAACACTGGTATCCTTCAGTCCTGAGCAAGATTCAGATGGCTCCACTGTGCACTGCACGCAGTTGATAAAGCCATGCCAGCGTGAACAAGGCAGAGGTGTTTGAGAACACACCGCCTTTTTCCTGGTGGACACCAGTCAAAGATAAGTGTCCACTCAGATGGCAGAGGCTGCCCTGGCTACTCTACTCTCAGAGTCTAGCCGCCAGGGGTGAGGGTCACATGGGTTCAGCTGCTTTTCCCACCTTCACCCAGCCAGAGGGCAGGACTGGCCTGGGCTCCTAGCTCCCAGGCACTCGTGGAGCCTGTGAAGCTTTTACGTATTCACACCTGCTTTTTAGCACTGCTGTAATCGATCTTTCGCATGAATGCTTGACAATACACATGCACAAATACCGTGGGTATTTTGTGCATGTGATATGATTGTGTGTGCAGTGTGTGTGTGTGTACACGTGTGTGCATGCGTGTGTGCATGTGTGCATATTCACGTGCACACACCTGGATGTAGAGTGTTTTCCTCAGTTGTTCTCTACCTAATTTAAATTTTTTTCTTATATTTTATTTGGGAGGAGGTGTGTATGTGTGCCACAGCAGAGCATGTGTGGTAGTCAGAGGACAGTTTTGAGTTAATTCTGTCGTAGGGATCGTTCTCAGGTCGTCAGGCTTTGCTGCAAGTACTCTCCTGCTGAGCCATCTCACCAAACCACCTTTTTAAAAAACAACTTTTTCCACGTCTAGTATCCTGCTATGAGTGAGTACATACCATGTGTGTCTTTCTGAGTCTGGGTTACCTCACTCAGGATGATTTTTTCTAGATCCATCCATTTGTCTGCAAACCTCATGATGTCATTGCTTTTCTCTGCTGAGTAGTATTCCATTGTGTATATGTACCACATTTTGTTTATCCATTCTTCAGTTGAAGGGCATCTAGGTTGTTTCCATGTTCTGGCTATTACAAACAATGCTGATATGAACATAGCTGAACAAGTGCTCTTATGGTGTGGTTGAGCATTCCTTGGACATCACCAGGGAGGCTACCTGGAAAACAGGACCCCAAGAAAGACACAGGGATCGCCCAATGACAGAGAAATGGAATGAGATCACATGAACAGCCTGGACATGAGTGGGGGTAGTGAAGGGCGAGGGTCGAGGGAAAGAGAGCTTGGGGGAGCGGGAGATCCCAGCTGGATCAACAACAGAGAGGGAGAACAAGGAATAGGAGACCATGGTAAATGAAGACCACATGAGAATAGGAAGAAACAAAGTGCTAGAGAGGCCCACAGAAATCCACAAAGATACCCCCACAATAGACTGCTGGCAATGGTCGAGAGACAGCCCGAACTGACCTACTCTGGTGATGGGATGGCCAAACACCCTAATGGTCGTGCTAGAAACCTCATCCAACTACTGAGGGATCTGGATGCAGAGATCCATGACTAGGCCCCGGGTGGAGCCCTGGGAGTCCAATTAGTGAGAAAGAGGAGGGTTTATATGAGCGAGAATTGTTAAGACCAAGGTTGGATAAAGCACAGGGACAAATAGCCAAACGAATGGAAACACATGAACTATGAACCAATGGCTGAGGGGTCACCAACTGGATCAGGCCCTCTGAGTGGGTGAGACAGTTGATTGGCCTGATCTGTTTGGGAGGCATCCAGGCAGTGGGACCGGGTCCTGTGCTCATTGAATGAGTCGGCTGTTTGAAACCTGGGGCCTATGCAGGATCGCTTGGCTCGGCCTGGGAGGAGGGGACTGGACCTACCTGGACTGAGTCTACCAGGTTGATCTCAGTCTGTGGGGAAGGCTTTGCCCTGGAGGAGATGGGAATGGGGGGTGGGGTGGGGGGAAGGGGAGGGGAGCGGGAGGGGGGAGAACAAGGGAATCCGTGGCTGATATGTAGAACTGAATTGTATTGCAAAATAAAAATTAAAAAAAAATTTAAAAAACAACTTTTTATTGAAAATAGTTATTTTCATACAATTTATTCCGATCAGTTTCCTTTCCCTTATCTCCTCCCACCTCCCTACCTTTCCAACACCACATCTTCTTTCTCTCTCCCTTAAGAAACTAAACAGGCAGCCTGGTGGTGGCGCACGCCTTTAATCCCAGCATTCAGAAGGCAGAGCCAGGCAGATATCTAAGTTCGAGGCCAGCCTGGTCTACAGCGTGAGTTCTAGGACAGGAACGAACCAAAACTACACTGTCTCGAAAAAAGAAGAGAGGAAGGAAGGAAGGAAGGAAGGAAGGAAGGAAGGAAGGAAGGAAGGAAGGAAAGGAGGAAAGGAAGGAAGGAAGGAAGGAAAGGAAGGAAGGAAGGAAGGAAGGAAGGAAGGAAGGAAGGAAGGAAGGAAGGAAGGAAGGAAGGGAAGAAGAGCAGGCAAATAAAAAGAACAAACCAAAAAAAAAAAAGTCTCAGAAAGCAGGAGAAACACGTGCAATATGAGACAAGAAAAAAAATTCGAAAATACCTGTGAGTTTGTGTTAGCCATCCGCTGCTGCTGGGCACGGGGCCCTCCCTTAAGTGTGGTTTGTATACCCAATGAGACTTTCTTGGAGAAGCTAATTTTTCCTTTGTGAATAGTTGGTAATTGGAGAAAGTTTCTTAGTTGGGGATGGGAGCTCATGGCTACTCCCCCATCTCAGCACTGGGACCCTGTCTGGTTTGGATCTGTGCATGCCCGCCGGTCTCTGTGGGTTAACATGTCAGTCCTGTTGTGTCTGGAAGACACTGTGTCCTTGGTGTCCTCCATCCCCTCTGGCTCTTATAATCTTTCTGCCTCCTCTTCAGCGTGGTTCCCTGAGCCCTGATGGGAGGGAGTTGATGGAGACATCTCAGTTAGGACTCAGAGTTCCAGGGTCTGTCACTGCATGTTGTGCAGTTGAAACCACAAGGGTCACTCACTGAACCCGGAGCTCACGGGTTCAGCTAACCTGACAGACAGATCCAGAGATGTTCCTAACACACACACACACACACACACACACACACACACACACACACACACACACAACCAGCACACACACAAGCACACACACACCCCAGCACACACCCCAGCACATGCTCACATCAGCACACACATACACCCCAGCACACACACACTAGTACACACATACCCCAGCATGCATACAACACACACACACACAATCAGCACACACAACCAGCACACACACAACAGCATGCACATATCAGCACACACACACACACCAGCACACACACCACCAGCACACACACACCCCAGCACATGCTCATATCAGCACACACATACACCCCAGCACACACACATTAGTATACACATACACCAGCATGCATACATCAACACACACACACACACAAACACACACCAGCACTGAGGTCAGAGGCACACATTGTGCTTTTAGATAGGCGATGGGAATGTCTCCGTAGGTTTGGCAACAAACACTTTGCCACCTGCACTTTATCTCCTATATTGTGCGCTTTTGTTTTTATTAATGACAGAATAAGCATGAAGGAGCCTACTATCCAGTATCAGAATTGCAGTATCGGCGACACCCCATCTCCCTGTGAGCCCCTAGTCCATGCTCTCTGCTCCACTGTTTAGCCCTAAAGGCTGTCCTAAGTGAGTTGCTTGAAAAGCAGAATTCTTTCCCTGTGTCAGTAGGCATCCCTTGATAGGTTTCCTCACTTTGTTGTGAAGGTCATGTTGGCTCATCGCAGGCTTCTTGCTGGACTTCTTCCAGTAACACTACTCTGCAGGAATGTGGAGCCCCCTATTCTGCTACCTAGCATGGGGCTTGTGACCAAAGGAATAAAGTGAAGACCAAGACTTGCCCGCCAGCTCAGTTCTGGGCTGTAAGCATTTCTTTTCTTCTGGACAAAGCCATGTGTTTTAAATGTCTTTTAAAAATACATTTAGGGGTAGGGGACTGAAGAGATGATGGTTCAGTGGTTAAGAGTGCCTATTGCTCTTGCAGAGGACCTGGATTGGGTTCCCAGCACCCACATGGCAGCTCACAACTGCATGGAACTCCGCTGCAGATCTAGCACCCTCTTCTAGCCCCAGCCAGCTCCTGAATGTGCACGGTACACATAAGCTCATGCAGGCACACACATACACGCATTTTTTACAATCTTGAA